TGCCAATGAGAGACCGATCGATTGCAGTCCTAACCATCAATATGAAGATTCAACCAAACAATACCAAATGAATGAAGTTGGCGAGACTAAACTACATGGACGACCTTTGAACGAATCTTAAATGACCTTGAGAAATGTTAGCCAATCAGAAGACAGTTAGTGTACAGTAAAAATTTATTATACAAAACCAAAGAATTAAAGTGGATACACTTCTTTTACATGAGTCAAAAACTTCTCAAGGTCGGATATAGGTTCAGAAGTTCTAAAATCATGATGCATACGGTACAGCAACACATACATATGTCTCCATAGTAGTCGACCTCTGAAACCATGATAAAGTCTCAAAAATTCTATTAGTCTCGACCACACAGCTTCAATATTGTTGATATATTGATCTGGTTTAGGGTTAAGAATGAGACTATATATTATGGACGACTTTTGAGCGACGCTAGAGTGACACTGAGAGTGTCGACATAATAACTAAGACTAAATGAGTGTTATAAACCTGTGTGAAGAATTTAAATTATGATTTACAGCTCATGGTTAAGGTTAGGAATTATACTTAGGGTTTTCATCACGAACTGACATCAGCTACAATGTCAAAATTCTATTTATACAAATGGATAATTGAATTTCGCACCAAAATCTTATGATCACTACTTTTGTAGACGTTGAATTATCACGTCTTCCCTAAAATTCGTTGTAAACCGACCGTATGTAAGCATCAGGTACTGAACTTAGCGCCATGACCTTGAAAACCCGTGAAAGCTTCTGATTGGCTCGTCCATATAGTTTAGTCTCGCCATGAAGTTTTTTTGTTTCAACCATGAATCGTTTGATTTTATTTTCTAATATATAACAACTGTGTTGTTTAATCTTTCATATTTATGATTAACATTTCATTGATTTATTTCCACAAAATAATTTTAAGTAGTAACTCTTTTTTAGAAACATTTATTTACTGTCAGTATGAACAATATCTCAAAATTAGATGATGAACCGATCAACACACGTAATTGACTAAAACATTACAAGGTAAGTGAATACAAAAATGATTTAGAATTTATTAACTGTGAATATTTTTATTAAATAGCTATATTGTTAGTTTAAAACGATGTATGTCAAAGAAACTCTTTGAAAATTAATATTTATGATGAAGTTATATATTGAATTGGTATAAAGACTTTAAGTGTTTGATCTAAATTTGAAGAGTTTTGATACGAATCTATAAATATTTTAATTATGAACAAGTATCTATCCGACAATATTTTAAGTTTGTTATGAATCATATTATTAACAAATGAAATCTGGCTCTAAATAACTGATTTGTCACTGACAATGAACATGTATTACTGTATAGATGTAATTATCGAACGCCGTACAATGTTTTCAAGTTTATCGTTAAGGAACCGCAGAGTAATGACCATACTTTTACTTTATCACGACGTTCAGAATTCACCATCAGAAACTGTCTTATCAGATATCATTTTACAACATCAACACCAAAACTGTTGAATTTCATAAAATCCTAGAAGAAATAAATCAATCTCATAAATGGCTGACAGTATAGAAGCACTTAAAAGATGATCTGGTTAAAACAAAAAAAATGGTATTTATGAAGTTATGTAGTTAATTTCTTTGATACAGTTTATAAAGTAAGAACAACAGACGTTGTTGGACAATGTCAATTTATTTGATATCGTATTCTTTCAATCTTCCACATACATAGTGATTTATAAAAAGAAAGAAAATGTTTTACAAATGTAATTTTTGTGTAACATGTGTAGAGTAGAAAAGGTTAGTGATGTTCAGTGTTTGTCGATGCTACTTTTTGCTTTCCTTTTTTTAGATAACGATACCAAAGTCAATCAAACGATAAGTCATAGATGATGGGATGTGAAGATATATTTGAACCATAGATTGAAATATTGTAATGTACAGAATCTCAGTTGAATGATTGTCGTAAGAGATATGCAGCTCGGTATACATAAATGTGTTCTGGTGAGGACACTTGACCAAGCCCTTTTATCTAGGCTTCTGTTCAGTAAATTTAATCGGTTCCACACCAATTTCGCAAATCTTCGAAGCTTTTCATGTTTTAGATTTATTCGCTACAGCAGAATCATTTAATTTACTAATGAATAATAATTATAATTACTTTCCACACTGATACAGCTTCAAAACATGAATGAACAGATTGGGCGAGATAGAAAGAGACCAAAACGATATAGAGTTCAAAAAATCTGTAGTAGTCAAAGATAAACGATTACAACATAGTGTGACCACTTAAATGATATGTTTTCACTAGGTTATTTCAATGAACTATTGCATTGCTGATATGCTCACATTTGAAATTTAAAAAATGGAAACGCTATCGTAACATACTTTTAGCAGATCTCCATGCACACCGAGTATACATCAACCATATCCCTTCAGAAAATCAAATATTCTAAAAATAATCGCCTAAGCCATTTATTCTTGAAATCTGAGGCTACTCTTCTTAAAGAAGTTCAGACAAGTTTGCTGAATGAAACGTTGGAACTATTTAAATTTCAATCGCTAAGATTATTTCAAATATAATCTTCACATATATTACTTATAATTTAGTCATTCAAATTATAACTTTTTACCAAAGAAAAATATTGTTACATAGAACTGACATCAATAATCAATCAAAAACTATGTTTTGTTCTGTATGCTTTTAGGTACTAAGTTTGGTTGTAAACGCAATATTTGCTCCAAGATGACAGAGGAAGTTAAGCATTGACTTCTGTCGAGCTTCATACAAATTGGTATGGATAAATTATTATGAGGAAAAAACCAACGTATATAAATTCAACAGACCAGAAGAAAAGACTAAAGCATAAAAAGAAATACAACGTAGTCATACTGTTAAAAAGTTGAAATGGACATAAGCAATCAATTATAGATTAACTTAATGAAATGATTACATAGAACTTCAGTCGAAATCAGTGGATTTTGAAAATGGTTAGAATAATAGAAAATCGTGATTATCCTACACGAAACTTAAATTTAACTACTGAATACTTCTAAATCACAATGTAGAATTTTATTTTATTGGGTATCAAGATACCAATGAATAACTGAATAGCACTGTTGAGATTAACTCAAATCAATATTATGATTAGACGATGTTGCCAGAACAGAAATTACTAATGTGACTTTTCTCGTTTCAATATTAACTTGATATTTATTAAATCCTACTCTCACGTTACTGACAGCTTGATTACTTTATCTTTTACAGTACTTAGTGCATTGTGATGTTTCATATAATACAAAATACCTTTCTTGTTAGACATACTTTGACTTGTTCAAATATTTCATTTTATTAACACGAACTATTAAAGTTCAGTAGTAGAACACTGTTACTATGGATATTTGATCTATCGATGTTGCTCTGTACTGATAGCTAAAACCAAATCATACTATCTATTTTTCATTTGGTAGTCATTTAAATGAAAAATTTATTCACTTCAGTTTTTAATTAACTCATCAACAAATAAATAATTTAGGTGATTGAAATTTATTTTTAGATTAAAACATTCTAAAATTGTTTTAATTGGCTACTTATTTTATTTTTACTAATACCCTTACACCACACAGGTTTGTACATGTTTAAATTAATTAAACCTTTTAAACTAGCCTATATCTAGACAGACAGTTTTATTTCAGACAAAATTAATTCTTTATGCAGAGAAGGAATGTGGCTGATAGTTGAATCTAGAACGCGCATTTCTTACTGTTTGTGACTAATCAGTTAAATGTAATGGCATCCTAGAGTTGATGTCTACTCTGGGACTATTAGCCAACATTTACACCTCCTTAAAAACTGCTTTCAACTTAATGGCAATATCAAGACAATCCACACATGACCAGCGTATGTCAAGAAGAGACGACTGATCAACAACAGTTTTAACCATCAGAGAGATGATTCAGGAAACAAATACATATAAATTAGGTGATTCTTCTATATTTTCTTACAATTAACCTTCATGTTTGTATGCTTATATCGATGAGTATGCATGATTGTAGATACTCGCTCACTTATTTATCCCACTTACGCAAAGATTAATCACTTAAATTATCTATAAGAATGCCTGATCGACAATGACGCATATACCTATATATTTGTGTGCAAAATGTGGATTGCATCGGTATACATGGTCCCTGGAGTAAACTTATTTTCAGTTACCGAAGTTTCTTCACGATCAAGATGTGGGCTTCTTTGTGACGTTTTCAGAAAACATCATGTGTAACAAAGCAGTGTTGCATAATGCGTAATGCATACTTTCCTAATGGGCGCAGCTACCTCTACATTACAAATCAGTCAAATTTCTATTTCCCTTAGATCTTCTTACCTTTGTAGTCAGTAATCCACCTCTGGATTTAATGGAATTGATATAAAGCTTTGACCATACAACATTTGCTTATGTGAACATTATTTCCTCCATTTCCCTATCTGTTTTGCATACTGATTTCATCACTGAAGTTATATATAAAATAAACTATTATAACTACTTCTTTTAACATTCTCAATATCTTAAAAAGTCTAAAATTTTCTTATTAACAGTTACCTGGTCGATTTGTATACAAAGTACATGAATAACGTAAAAAATAGGTATACACTTCAACAGAATCGATGATATTATCACAGTAACTTAATCATACTCAGATTCATTTAGTCTACTCTTACATTTTTTAATCTAATATCCTCCTTAACTAAATGAACTGAATTATACAATTAATTATAATTTACTTTTATGGACATTGATAAACACAATTTTCTAAATACGACATGGAATACAAAGAAGTAGGTTATAAAACTGACAGCAAATGTAAACAATTTAATGTTTATACTTAGTAGATTTATCTATTTTCTTAATAAACTAACTTCTCATTCGTTTTCTTTATATAATAAAACACATTATGACGTATTATGTCACAGTTTGTGTTGATTTATTCCATTGTTTAACTTCGTAAGTTTAATCTGAATGGTGATTTTTGATTTAAAATTAATTGTCTAATAATTATTCCATTATAACAATCATCTTGTGGTAATTAGAAACTTCCAGAATTTAAACATTTGATTAATATCAGAAGGGGTTTTGTGGAAATTATTTAATTGATTCAATTGAAGCTAGACCACTACGGAAAACCTGGGAACACTTGATGACCATTTCATCCTAGTATCAGACTGCTCAGCAGTGCGTACCCACGATCCTGACTCGCGAGATTCGTATCCAGGACCTATTAGTCTCGCGCTCGAGCGCTTAACCTCTAGACCACTGAGCCAGCATCCAACGGTGTTAATGTCTTACTTTTACTAATCCACGAAATTGAGCGACACATCCACCATTGTCTTCAATGAGCTACTATCTCACAACAGACTCAGTTGAACTCCCTGGCCTTCCAGTGCTTCTAGATTTTCCATAGTGATCTAGCTCCAATTGAATCATGATCTCAACTATTAAAATTTAAACATTCATTAGAATAAGTAAATCTTTCTTTCTTGTTTAATAAAATTTTGTGATAAAGTTGATTTTTTAAAAATAATTGATGAATTGATTGATTAAATACTATAAATATAAACAATTTGTTTATTTAATTTATTATATATGCTTTTTTTTATTAAAAATAAATCAATAATCAAAATGTTTATCTTTTAAAGGTTATCGTTTGTTATTTTTTGTTGTTTTTTTTTGTTTCTTTTGTTCAAATGTTCTTTTTGTTTTTGATTAAATATACTACTACTACTATTATTATTATTATATTTATTAATTTGTTCTATATTGATTTCATTATTTATTATTCTATTATTAATTGATGATTTAATCAATAAATTAATATTATTATTTATTAAAATAGATGAAATACAAAATTGTTTAATTAATAATTGAATCATTTTATAATTTGGTAATAAATTTTCTTTTATACAATTTGATAAATTAAAACAATAAAATCTTAAATTTATTATTTTATAAATAAAACAATAAATTAAACGTGGTAATAAATCACGTATATAAAATATTGATTGATTGATTATTGATTTTATTGGTATTAACATTTTATATTCTAATAAATACCAATTTAATGATGCATATAAACGTTTAGTAAACAGAATTTTATTATTTTTTAAAAATTTTACATTATTATTATTATTATTATATTTATGTATAGAATATAATTTTGAATATTCATTATATTTATTAAAACATTCAATAAATAAACTTTCTAATGATTGACTTATATCATGATGATCAGTTTCAAGGATAATTAAACTAAAATCTTCATCATTTAAATAAAATCCAGTAATTAGTTTATTTACTAGTTGAATATTTTCATTATTATGTTTATCATTAGAGTTATTTAATAATATTGTATTAGATGATTTTGAATGGATACATGGCATATATTGTGATTGTCTAGAATTTAAATTTGCTTTAATGATATGTAAAGGTAATTCATCAGATATTCCAATAGAACGTGCATTAGATTTTAATACAAATAATTGAATCTTTTCTATTATCTCTGAAACATACTTTGCTATAAAGAAAAATAAAATTTAAGGACGTATTAGGGTATCTAACCTATTTGGTGGTTATAGATCACAAAAAAAGGTTATCGTTATACAACAACTAAATATCACAAGACATTCTGATCAACATTACTAGAGCATTAAAACACTCAGACTGTCCTCAAAAAACTCTGTTCAGTATTCGAAGTACTTTTAAACATATATTTATTGTCAACTACAAACTGTCTAACTGACACCACACATCTTTTGTCACCAATTGTCCAGATGGGCCAAATGAGTTTCTGATGGTTATCAGGTACAACTGATACTTTCAACTCATTGGAACAAATAATATTTTCATAGTTGAAATCATGAGTCAATTGAAGCTAGACCACGATCGAAAACCTGGAAGCACTGGACGGCCGTTTCGTCTTATTATGGTACTCCTCAGCAGTACTCATCCACGATCCTGCCTCGCGAGGTTCGAAACCAAGACCTACCAGTCTCACACCAGAGCACTTAACCGATTTGCAGAAACGATTTTTCCAACCTCTCACCCTTTATTCGCCCTAATTCCCTTAATAGGTATGTTTTCGGTTGTCGTTTTTTCTTCTTTTCTGCACTTTTATTTGATTATTATCGAGTTTTTTGTTTATAAATCACTGTTTTACATTTTGAACTGTAATCAGTTATTATTTTACCTTATATAAGTTTTCTTGATTATTATTATCCAGTCTATTATTATGACCTTTGCGTTTGTCGCTTTTCTTCATATCAGTCAATTGGACTATTATCTGTCCTATAAATTATTTTCTTCCTTACCCCTTGATTAGTACGTAACCTCAATTGTTATTTATTGTCGAATCAATGTATAATGTAATCTTTCCTAGCCTCCTGTAGACATATATTTTCCATATAGGAAGAGTCCCATAATAGGACGAAACGGCCTTCATGATTTCAACTATGAATATACTGAAATCTTTACAAAACCCCTTCTGTTACAAATATATTTTGCATAAAATGAACGTCTACTTATAAGTAGTTAAAATATGTTCAGAAAATGATTTGATTTTACCTTCTATTTCGGTTTTATCAGGTTTTTCCAAGATGAAAACCATACGTTCAATAGTCTGTGCATTTTCAGGTAAGGCGTTTATTTGTAATAGTCGATCCATGTTGATATTCATCTCTATTTCAATGGATATTTCACACTGACAATCCATGTAACCAATATAACTACGAGGAATACTTCTAGGATTTTCATTAATAGATCTATGGTCTTTTAATAAATCTAGATCAGATTCGCTAATTGGCAGTATAGGCAGTGTTCGTTTCATTTTAACACATTTTAAATGAATTATTTCACTTAAATCTAAGACAATCCTTCCAGTAGGTGATGGTAATTTAGAGCGGTTTTCACCAGTATTTTTATCTATACATTTCGTTGAAAATATATTTGTTTTTAAATTTGGTTGAGCTTTTCCAATTTTATCATCATCTGGCTCAGTGCAAAATAAACCATTTCCAGGTAGTTGTTTGACTTCAGTTGTTCCATCGTCATGGCACACTCTGTCGTACAAATCAATGACTACAGGTAAAGTTTGTACCAATTCACGAAGATATAATCCAGGAATATCATATGTAAGGATAACCTATAGTGGATTTAAAAAACTGTAAATCATAATACCCAGGTTGAATAGTTTTCCTAAAATTCGCAGTAAATTCATATTTATAAAATATAAGGAAACTGAACATTGAAACTTGTTTAGGCGGTGGTCTTGATTGATGAAATGAATCACTAACCGAGTGGGAGCTGATTTCATTTCAGTGATTTCGTTTTTTAAATTATGCAATCGCAAAATATAAACAGGTTTTACAGTGACGATCTATATGTTTATCAAGAATATTAATTTATGAAACACTATAGGAAAGGGATGGAAATAAGCACAAGTACAATATAGTATATCGTTCTTTTTAAGGCACTGAAGACATCACTGATAACGAGCTTGAAAAGCTAATTAACTCTTCTTGGAACTCCTCTACAGCTACTATCTGTCCTAAGCCTGAGTATATGAGAAGGTTTAAGTGTTGGGTTGCCAAATCTATCTTGTAAAAAAGAAACATTCTACAACATTGTCAAGCAGAAATAACCAATTAAACTATGTTCTGGTATTTAAATATTTTTCACATTGAAAAATCAGGATTCTTCAGAAGGTACAAGTGTGACACTCCTGACATGTTTCTGACAATGTTCTAACCTTAAAGATTAATAATAAGATTTCAAAAAGTGTCACCTATTTTTACTTCATAATTAGTTCATGACATCCCACTTTTTTACCTTATTTTTATTTAAATTTAGTCAATTTCCTGTATTCAAAAACATTTTGCCGATTATTTCTACTATCATTAATGGTAGTGATAATATTTTGAATAGAAACAGTCAATGGAATCTAGGAAATGTGTTACATCTAATTCAAGGCTTCTTAACTGAATGTCAACAATGTTAAACTGAAGCTTATTAAAATTAATTATAATATAATAATAACGATTATTTACTGAGATATATACACAATGGATGAAACTTACGTCTCTACAAAATAAAGTACACTATATCTTATCAATTACAATTGCACTAATCAGTTAACCTTAGTTATTAAATCGATATATAGATGAAGGTTAAAGCGTTTTTATTAGTGTTCATCAAAACTGAATTGAATTTAGAATTTTCAAACTTAAAGTTAATGAAAAGATGGATAATAGCTAGCAGTGGAATCCAGGACGCGCGTTTCGTCCTATTTGGGACTCGTCAGCTGGTTGTACCTGCATCCCTGAGCTGATGTTCACTCTGAGACTCCAACCCAGTACTTTTCGCCCCAAACGCCACCGCGTTATCCACTGAGCTACTCAGTCCTAATAGCCACTTGCTTGTGCAATGGGGTGAAGTTTAAATTCACTTGGTATTGTTTGTTCGGATCTTCCGATTGATGTTTAGGACTGCAATTGATCAGTCTCTTATTGAATGAATTTCACTGGAAATTTGTACTATTATTTTTCATAAGTAACATACATAAATTTTACTATCAATCGTTTCTCAATGAATTTTATTATGAATGTGTTTTATCCTTGGATATCTTATTCATCTGAACTAGTGAACAAATGTTGAAGACACAAGTGTACAAATCAATGTTTAGATTACATTAGCAACAACGCAAGAGCTCACAAAAGAAGTTATGTACAAACATCATTTAGAAATAACCAAAGCTCACTACAGCACTTTCAATGGCTGAAAAGTTAAGAAACTTTTTCTCATATCCGCTTTACATAAAAATCCGTACCCACATAATTTCATCAAAAAGCGTTTAATAAATCATATATCCACTCCTGAAAGCAAAGGTCAAATCATCCTCCGACACATGAAAAACATGATAAAATTTACTACAAAAATTTTGAGACTTTTTAAAATCCATGTCACTCGTAAGCCAATGCAATAACTTCACTACATTTTGTACAAGTAGACTATTATAGACACAGATTTCTCTAGGAAAATGTCGAAGTTTCAGATCAAGAAAATTCTTAGAATCGATTCGTAATCATTAGACACATCTGGATAGGTTTGGCTTATCAAATTGGATTTTGCTAATCAGTCACTTATGGCCATATGTGGATATGGGACAATTAACATGACACAACGGATACACAACGTCACACGAAGATAACGAAATCTATGGTGATTACTATGTGAAAAACATTGTTTTGAGATGTAATGTCAAAAATTGATATTTTGGTACACGCACAAAGTTATCTCTATAATTCGATAAATTTACCTGTACTTCATCCATATATATTTCCTTTTCTTGAACATATTCTCGTGACTGATGGCTCCACACATCAGAAAATGTAGTTACTAATCGTAATGGTTCACATATATTTCTCATTTCTTCATAGCTTCTATATGGAGCAACAGGAAGATTATGTAATCTGTCGATAGTCAATATGATTGGCTGAAATTTCTGCCTTTGGTGATCGGACATCAGTGGATTAGAAAGTTTCATACCAACTAATATATCTTTAAAATTATTCTCTAATTCTAAAGTCACTGAAGATAATGGTGGCTTATTCAATGATATATTAGTAGTTTGTGTCAGTGGTTTACTTGCTACAATCCATCCTGGTGGATTTATTCGAAATAAATGTCCTGTTTGTAATACTAAACAACATGTTCCCCAACTTTCAACAGGATCTTGGATTTTGTCAGTTTTTCTTGATCTATAACCAGCAGATAATACTTTCATTCTACTACTGCAAGATTGGTTGGATGTATTTACGTCTGCGAAATAAAAGTTTATTTTTAAAATGTTCAATTAAAGTAGCTTGATTTAAACCAATAAAACATCCTTGTAATATTAAGTAAATTGATTATATTTTTTGCTGTAGAATACAACTACTGATTAATTGTGGGATATTTTTAAATGGATGAAAATGTGAGCCATTTTAATTGAATGAATTCTCGATATAATTCTCTTTGTAACCTATATCATGGGGTTTTTATCCAGTTGTTTTTAAAATAGAAATACGATACTATTCTAGTTAATGAACAATAATAAACTGATGAAGAGTCTAAGTTTAACAAGATTTATCCCCCATGCATAATAGAGTTATCACCTTTTTTGTGTTAATTGTTAGGATTTATTGAATATTTTATCTCCTTACTTTTTCTTATCCTCTCATGATCTTGAAGTATGGAACCTTCTACCAAAGTGACTTTCACCGTACTTAAATATTTGCAAACTATTGACAGTCCTACAATAATTTTCTTTAACAAACAAAAATAAATCATTGATGAAAAATATATCAACTGACCTTATTCAAAAACAACTTATCATCGATTAATAAAAACGTAAAATATTCATATAAACATTAAATAGGAATAATATATATTTGTAAAATCTCAGCGAATGAATTTGAAGTAAATCCAAGGTTTTGCCTGGCAATCTGGAATTCCTTGAAAAAGCTTGGACCAGATTGCTAGGCGAAACGTTGGATTTACTTCAAATTCATTCGCTGAGATTTTACAAATATATATTATTCCTATTTAATGTCTTACATAAACTCGGCGCTCAAATACTGTGAAACTATTCGCTCTAATTTAGACGAAAGTTCTTATATATTCATATAAACGTTTTTAATTGAACATACTTAGGTTATATAATAAATATTATGTAATCTTAATTATTAGAAAAGACCCTCCCCCCCCCAATACATATGATAGTTACGTAGAGTTGACTTCATGTTAGTAACTAAAAAGATTACTTTAGAAATTTCCATTGTTATTAATTCTGGGATACAAGTAATAGTACAACTGTAATATGATAAGTACTGAAGAAGATTAAATATATATATTATTTATTATTTTTATTTTACTTCAGTAAACATATATGATCAGAAAGTAGTAAATAATGCTTACTACTTATTACTTTAGTTACATACATTTGTAATAACCAAAAGTATAGGTAAAGTGAGATTAGCTAGAGTGGAATTTATGCTGCCTAAAACATAAACTGAGAATTCGTCTTAAACATTGTATTCTTGTCTTTCTACAATTTTCTAAATATAGAAGCTAGGCAAACTGTATCTAATTAAGATAATTTTATTTATTCTTCTCTTCAGTACTATGTTCATTGTTTTATAGTGTTCTATCGGCAACGATAACTTTTTCTATCATGTATATATGTACATAAAACTCTTGTTTCCCTTAATGTTACAAATGTAATCACATTATCAATATGTAAATAATCAAATTAGAAAACTGATGGGCTTGTAGCTTCGAGAAAGCTCACTTAAACTTATTTTTATTTCGACAGAGTCAATCGAATTGGCTTAATGATTTTTTGATCTTGAATCCAAGTTTATTTCCATGTTGTTGCCATTGTTATATCTATTGACTATATTGTACCTATTCTTCTAGATATCCTTGTATATATATGACTATTTACCAATTATATAACATTTTGTGACAATATAAACATACAATGGTACAAAAAACGGTTTGCTTGAATTCAAATTTCATACGGTCTTCCTGTATCTTCTTTGGTTTACGCATGAAATATGCATACGAGCAACAACACACATCATATTGGATTTCTTATTTGATTGTTGGTATCATATCCATTACACATTGGTCAAATCTATTTAAATATACGAATTTATTTGAGATCGATATTTCGATGGAATTAAACGCTCTACGACAGACCAAACAAACTGAAACAATTCGACGAAAAACTCAATCTGAATTCCCAGTTTGTATGATAACAAAGTGAAATTTTACATAAACAATACAGATGTATTTAGAAATGGAATGTTAATTACACAACATGAAAACTGAAGCGAAACTATCTAAGTGACGTTTAACCAAAGAACAAGATGACATTGGTGTTTTTAACTCACGAACATGATTAGCAGGACAAAAATGAATGGAATCAGACTTCTTCATTTTGTTCACTGAATATATTTTAAAAATACTTTTAGTGAGGAATTTAATCTATGCTAGATTGTTTTTATTTTGCATTATTGAACCATTAAATTGCTTTACGTCATGGATCTAATTTGCATAATTGATTCATGGAAAATATGCAAATATATTTTTAGGAATAATTATGGAAATATCAGTTCTTTTAACAGCTTTAACTGATTACAGAATGATAATAATTTGCATACTATCTGTAGATGTTCTACATCGTTAACTACATCTTGTCAATGAATCCACATATAATAATTCCAACTCCTCATAAGTTAGAGTTTGTTATGTGACAAAATGACTGAACTATATGAAGTTACTAGATTGCAATTAACTAGTCAGTCTAAGTAGACAGTAGTGGATAAATAAAAATGATAAGCTAAATCAATAAATATCACTTACGGAAGTGAACTAGCATTAGAAAGAAGCTAACAAGCATTCATTGTAAAAGAAGTGAGGGAACTTTGAAATACTTTAATATTTCCTTGACAAACCTAAAGTTACGGTAATAAATTATTAGGTCAAACCTTGTTAACACTACTTAGGAACATTATTTTAATTCGATTGTGTTCAATATAGTGACACTGTCTAATACTTATCTTGTGTTTATCGTTCAAATATGAAACAGTTTAAATGAAATTTAAACTGAATTTTTGAGGTGTTTGTCTGAACTAATGGTTGCTTTATACTTGATGAATGCCTGATTTCAAATTCCAAATACAATACGTTTAATTAAGTTCACCTAGTTCTATTTGCTGTAAATTGGACTGTTTCGAGAATTCCTAGTTCGCATAATAATTTAAATACTTCTAATTATCACAATATGCCATTAGGAAAACTTGAAATATGATTGATCACCTAGTTATGTTTGCTAAGAGTATGAGTAATGCCCATTACATGATATTAAAAGATAGTGCATAGTGATAATAAATTCTCAGGCTTACTAATCAATTGTGATCAGTTTTATTATCAAATTTACTCATGAAATGAAGATTAAGTAATTTCTTTCGATTTTAATGATCACTGTTTGTATGAAGACAATGTATCATTTTTCATAGGAGCGATAGTAAACAGGTATGTAGTTGAACAGTAAAAAACAGTCGATTGTCGAAATTTTTCAAATATAATTCAAAACTGAAAGAAAAAGTATAAAGTTTATTGGCGGATATGTTGGCAGTCATAATCTGTTCAATTAAAGTTATCAAAATAAAGAAACACGAAGGATCTTTCCAATTTCTAGCTATACATTCCCCTAGGAATTACTTACATTATATTGTTAACCTACTATTTAGTGTACTTTTACAGAAATGCTTTTCTCTGGAAGTTCTTCCATTTGTAACACCAGAAATAATTAAACTTACATTTTATGTGATTTTTTGTTTTTGATTGTGATATTGTTTTACATCCCTTAGAAACACTCTCTGTATTTGAATTATTCATTTGTGTATTCTTTGAATTTTTACGATATGAATTTAACATGGTTATTGTAGACTGAACTTCAGTTAACTTTTTACCATCCTTCAAGTTATCTTCAGACTGTTTGTTGCTGTTATTATTAACAGATCTTGGTCTATCAAATCTTGTCTGAATTGAACACTTATCTCGTTGATCCCAACATTTAATACGTATGCCACCAGTTTGTGTTAAATTCCAAAAGTCAATAATTATTTCATCCGTAATCACTATTGGTATTTGTTCGGTCCATACTATCCATAAAGTGTCATTAAATTCACATGGGTTCGCTAGCTTTGATGAACAGTTTGTTGGGTAGATTTTGGCAATGGATTTTGAAAATACTACCACATCAGTAGAAAATAAAAAATCGTCTTTATTCATTATTGAATATTCTAGATGAAAATACATAAAATTGTTATGTCCGTTGGATAAACCAGATGAACTTGAGTTAACTGACTTTGGTCGTGAGATAGTAGATTCTCTATTTAACAGAGTTTCAGAATCAACAGCCAGCACAAATGTTAATATAATGTCTGTTGTATGTTCTTCATTACCATCATCACCGTCATCTTCATAAATCTTGTCCTCTGATTGTTTATTCCAACATATACCATGCTTCATAACTGAACTCATGTGAAGTATTGGGTGAACTACATGTGGCAATATTGAAAATGAAGACCATTCACTTGTATAACTAGTTATAGACATATCTTTTTGAATAATTATGAAGAGATACCAACGTGAATAGTACTTTTATTTTTTGAAATGCAGATCTTATTTGTTAAGCCAATCGAAAATTAAAGTCATTTGATTGGTCACTTATAACTCAGTGTCTAAACTCTATCAACATTGAGAGCTATCCAGTGTGTGTTGATATTATTCCTCAATTTTTAAAATGTTTAGAAAGTAGTTTCCCTGTTTAAAAAACCTGTTTTCATCCTATATGAAGAAAGCATAGGTTTAACACATTACACATGTATATCTGCGTCTGTTATATCCCCTGGTGAATTATGAATGGTAACTCTAAGGACTATTTATCGACCAGTGTATTATGCCTATTTCCTATTGCACAATTGTTACGTAACTAAACTATTCATATTCGTGTTTTCTCTTATCATTAGCTTTATTTTGATCTTTGATTTATTATCATACGATTCTTGAGTTATAATCAGTTTATTGATTACTTTGGTTTGTATAAAAACCCAGTATGTTTGTAAATAATGATTCATATTGTCTTCAGTCTTCAGTAATAAGGATAGTAGGTTGATGAACCTGTGTTAATCCTGACAGATTTCCTTCCAGTGAAGGTCCAGCTTCTTTTTGAAAATGTTCACTGATGGTGCTGATACCACTTGTTCTGGTAAAGCGTTCCAGTCATTGACCACTCGATGAGAAAAACGGGACTTCACATTTAGTTTATTAGATCGCGGTTTCAGAACCTTCTTGCTATGACCCCGGAGATTATTAGTGCTGGAGGGAGCAAAAAGATAAGACATATTAACACCCAGATCATAATTAAAGATACGAAATGCCAGTATAAGGTCACCTCACGTCCTACGATAAGATAAGGGGAAAAGGTTTAGACGTTTTAAACGCTCATCGTAAGGGAGTTTAGAAAGACCCTTTACTAATTTTGTCCCTACACGCTGGACACGCTCAAGCGATTTAGTATCCTTTATCAGACAAGGGCTAGCTGCTTGGATACAGTATTCTAAGTGTGGCCTTACATAGGTGGGATATAAAATTCGAAACATATCCTCGTCAAAGCATTTAAATGCTCTGCGAAGCGACCATAGCGCGCGATAGCCTTTGGAAGCAACCGCATTGCAGTGTGTAGTAGTTTTTAAGTCGTGACATATAATTACTCCTAAGTCTTTGTGCTCATGAACGCGTGGCAGAGATGTACCATTAATGGTATAGTGGTAACTAATATCGTGCCCGATGTGCATGAACACGCTCTTCCTGGAATTAACTTCCAGGCCCCAATCATGAGCCCACCTAACTAATTCGTCTAAATCTGCTTGTAGATAACAACGATCAGTCTCATTTCTTATTGTTCTCCAGATTTTAACATCATCCGCAAACAATAACGTCGACGACTTAAGTAATAAAGGTATTTCATTAATATACAGAAAGAAAAGTAAAGGGCCTAAGATGGTGCCTTGGGGTACACCACTTTTGACCGGTTTCCATTCGGATAGAGTTCCATTGACCCTCACTCTCTGTCTGCGGTCACATAAGAAGCTTCCTATCTATTCCTGTATAGCACCTGTTATACCAAAGGTCGAGAGCTTTTGCATAAGACCTAAGTGTGAAACCTTATCAAACGCCTTGCTAAAATCTATGAATATCATGTCGACAGACTGGCCGTTGTCTAGGGCAGCTGTCCAATCCTCTCTCGCAATGAGTAAGTTAGTCAAGCATGAATGCTTGTTACGAAACCCATGTTGCTCGGGAGTTAACAGATTGTACGAATCTATGTGGCTCAGTAGCTTAGCCCGAATTAATTTTTCAAGTAACTTAACTACTATACTGGTCAGGCTAACAGGCCGGTAGTTAGATACGATCCCTCTCTGACCATCCTTAAATATAGGACTAACTATGGCGTCTTTCCAGTCCCTAGGTAGTTGAGCCTGTGAAAGGGACATGTTGAAGAGCGGTCTTGAGATAATGTCCGCAAGCGACGACAGCAAACGTGGGTGTAACCCATCGGGGCCCGGTATCTTACAAGGTTTTAGGTTAGTTATCAAAGGAAGAACAATATCCTCTGTCACGTGCAAAGGTCGAGGCTGTTATTTGTGTTCTGCACTTAACTGGCTGGGCTAGGCAGATAGGAAGGACCGAATAGCACCCAAGACTGCTCGTACGATTTCAGGTATCATTCGCGTCCGATCAATAAATCCACTACATCTCCAAATGCACATTCATATATATTAAGAGGCCATACGTCGAAGAAGATTACTTTTTATTTTGAACTACAGGGACGGTAAATGTTGTTTTTCATTTATCACCGAAACTTAATTTTTATTATTTTGTTTACTAGGCATACTTTTCACGAATTTCCGTACTTTTTAATGCCTCAGGTATTCATTTGTTAAAATTCTAAATATTACTTACCTACTTCCGCCTGTTACTCCCAATGGAGCATAGGCCGCCGACCAGCATTCTCCAATCCACTCTGTCCTGGGCCTTCTTTTCTAGTTCTATCCATCTTTTGTTCATTCTTCTCATGTCTGTCTCTATTTTTCGACGTAATGTGTTATTTGGTCTTCCTCATCTCCTTTGGCCTTCAGGATTCCATGTGAGAGCTTGTCTTGTGACGCAATTGGGTGATTTCCTCAAAGTGTGCCCAATCCACTTCCAGCGCTTCTTCCTGATTTCTTCCTCCGCTGGAATCAGGTTTGTTGTCTCCCACACTAACTTGTTGCTTATAGTGTCTGGCCAACGGATCCGAAGTATCTTGCGTAGACAACTGTTAATCAACACTTGTATCTTCTGGATAATGGCTTTCGTAGTTCTCCAGGTTTCCGCCCCATACAGTAGAACTCCGTCTGTAGCTCCTCCCGGGGATACTGCCGGTCCCAAGCCCGGGTAAAGGAGGAGGGTTAGGCATGAGGTCAGCGACCCCATCCCGTAGAAAACCAACTCGCTAAAAAACGCTAACCAGGAAAAATTATTCAAAAATTCTAAATATAAGAATATAATAATAGGTCACAATGTACTTTATTCTCATACCATCTTTCAATATACACGCAACTACGTTTCACTGATTTACAACATACGAAGCATTTGTTAGTCTATTATCCATTGCCGTAAATTTATATTATTGTGATATTGCGATATGGATTTAGAAAGACGTATTTAAAATATTGCTTATTCATCATATATTCTATCAGTCGACGTAAGACGTTGCTGAATTAATAGTACAGACGATAGCGTTATATGTTTTTAAAGTAAGAAATCTCTACATAGATATTGACTAGAGCCAACATCGTGAGAATACTTATGTCATGCAATTAATACTTTTCCATCTTCTTGATTTGAGCTAGCATTACGCTATTATATTGACTACGTGATAGTTAACACCACACATCACAGTGACTTAAAAACCTGTATCGCTCTGACCTAGTGACCAGGCTATACTACTTATTTAGTACACTTAAGGAACAGATAAAATCTAATCAAGAAGATCTTTCTCATCTGACAGATTGAAGTGAGGCAATTTATGTGCGACAAGCGACTAGTGGATTGATCAGGTCCTTAAAAATGTCAAGAGAGCTGGTAAAATTCCATCACAACAGGTTTTCAGCAGGAATAATGAAAATTTTACTATTATTAGAGGTAGAAAGTTAGGAACTGTTATCATTGATGGAGGAAACAGATTTTGTTATGATTATTCTACAGTTAATAAATATAAATAGTTTTATGTCTATATCGTCCCAGAAAAAACTACAGAACCCTACTCTGAAAACATCCTGTCACATGATACAACAGTAGCTAAAATAATAACAAAATCTGGTGGGACGATCACTTAGCCGTCAAGTTGTGTAGCTACATTCATGTTGGTTTGGCCTGTTTCAGTCCTTTAATAAAGAAATTTCTTTCAATTCATTGTTTTCTTTATTTTAATGACCGTTAAATGATATGAGTGTTGACAATAATAAATGAACTGATGGACAATCAACGGTTAGATTCCAAGCTATAATACAATAATACTTATTCGTGGATAACATTCTGAAGTACAAAAATAAGGTATTTAAAAGAAGATCAGCCTCAAATATATCAACGAATAAACAAATCCGAATAGGCTCCGTATGAAGAAAGCATGATATCATAGAATATTATTGCAAGTAATTTGCTAGAATCAAATGACTCTGATCCCAAACTTAGACATACTGATGATTTGAGAAAGGTTGGAGCACCTATTCGTAGCGTATTTCCAGATAACCCTACAGGATTTCTTGTCAGAAAATTAGTAAGAATAGGTAAGAGGACTGAAGAAATTGTTGAAACCCGACCACAGAGACTTATTAAAGCAACCATAGTGTTGGAGAAACAACGAGATCTTTATCTAAATAGCACTTGAAGTCACGATAATATTGACATTTGAATACCACCTCATATGTCTCTAGAAGATAGAATAAAAAAGGAAAGCTGCACTAGCTGAACTAGAAACCCATCGACAAAATAGTGAAAGAAATCTAGGCTTAATAGGTTTTCCAGTAGTCAAGTACTGGAAGCGATTGCTACCAAGGCCTACATGGATATTCTCTTTATTCTCTTTAGGAGTTTTATCTGCAAATGCTCATATTCTATGAAATAAATTATATGAACTAGGAGTATTAGTGGACAATTTACAGCTACTCATCCTGGCTGTGACCAAAACTTGGTAAGTCCATGGCTACAACGTTATTCCAGAATTATCCGGATACAACTACCTAAGGAGTGGTAGGAATGGGTGCATGAAAGATAGTGTAGTCTCATGTGTACATGATAAAGGTACAAAAGTGTAGATAGGTTGTTATTGTACGGGGTGATTTTGTCCGTTAAATAAGTTAAGAAAAGGGCTTAACCAAATTAAATATCAACAAACTCAATTGTACATGAGCTACTATAACAGCTCCACCCAGCAAACATAGATACAAAACAGTGTCTGTGCTTGAGAAAAAAAGATGTTAAATTTAACAGAACGGCAAATATCGAAATTT